GCCTAAACCGTTGGGTTAGCCGAGCCCAAAAATGGCTCGCCAATGACCAACCACGCAGCTGCAAAATAACTGGGATGCCCACATCAGCAGTTCGCCCTATAAGCTGCCATACGATGTATCATTCGATGTACTCCCAACCCAGATGGCGTCTATTTACGCAGCAATGCTCTGGAATCTTGTAAACAGTAATGAAGCAAACGGAGGTGATTTAGCCATATTTCACTCGCAGCTAACATTTCGGTCTACTTTAAACCATTTTATTGCAGTGCAGTGGAGCAATGGTTTTTGACGGGCATACATACAAAAATGCTTGACAAGTCTCGTTGGTGAAAATTACATGATAAAATCAATGTCGGTAAACGAACGCGCTAGATACATTATTCAATGAGAGTCACACTAGTACATGTGTAGGTATTTCTGTCTGGAGTTTAGAAGGATTATGATATCTTTCTCCGTTTGTTCTACATTTATGTAATCATCTGATGACCATAGGCTACATAGCGTAATGTACCAGTGTCAAGGTATCGTCAAGGTGTTTTTGAGTACTGATAAGGTGGAGGCATTCATTATTTGATCCAGGAGGCCGTTTCAAGGTAGTAACACCTGAAGGGAATAAAATTTCGAGGACGTTCCGGTCGGTTTTATAGTGTGACCAACCTAAACTGATGACTCTAAGAAGGTGTGTTGGCTGTTTCAAAAGATAGTAGCATGAGTCGTCTGGATTGCTTAGAATCTGATGAGGTGGTCCCGTACACACAGATAACGTGAGTATGGAAGGTAGGAAGAATCTCTGACGTTCTCCCTCGCCCTGCGTTTTGCAGTATGGAGTGCGGTGAGCTGTTGCTTCTGCCAAGGTTGCCAAGTTTGGATAGCGTATCTCGCTTGTGGCTGCACGCACGAGCCGATCATTTTCGGAAAGAATGAGACGTCGAAGTTCCAAAACACAAAGGAGGCTGAAGCGCTGGTTCGTTATCCTTGATGCCTTTACAGTCTGCCTCCAACAGCCTAGGTCATCTTGAACGAGCACGTCGAGATCGCAGTAATGAGACGACCGCTGTACAATTTGTGTCCTCAGCCGGTAGTTGTGAGTACTCTGATGACTTATGCCCTGAATTTTTGACGGCCGCGTTGAGCTGGAGCATATTTTCGATGGGCGATGTGTATGCTCTGTGTGTATGCTTTATACAGGCCATCGTGTAGGACTTGTGATATCCCAATATACTGAGAGCACATCATCTCTTTATATCATCGATGAGTAGTAGGCAAATTTAAGATATCACCTTAGCGAAGTCATTTAGGAGGGCCAGGAACAGGCGGGGCCGGAGTACCGGGCAGTGAGGCACGCCGTATTGGACTTCGATTGGTTCAGATAGGGGGTTGCGATCCCACACATTAAAGTGACGTCTACCGAGAAAGACGGCTATGCAGCTTTACGTGGGATTGCCGATTCCATAATTCTGAAGCCTGTACAGTAGGATAGGATAGTCCAGACGACCGAACGTCTTCGATAGACCAAGATAGGCGGCATCTACATCCACCCTTGAATCCACATATTCCCTCTAGGGTTCACGAGCGATCACTAAATTAGTAGTACATGACGGACTATAGCGAATTCCGTGCTGCTACGGTGTGCTACTTTTGTTACACTTCTGGTACTTCATGAGCGCCTCAGTTACAATGGACTCCACAATGTTGGAATCAGCGGAAGACGTGTTATCGGACGTTAGTTTGTTGGTTCTGCACGTCTACCACTTTTAATGTTGGAGTAATGATCCCATGCTTCTACATCGTGGGGACCTGCCCCTTGTTAAAACACCGTAGCAAGTATACTGCTAACGGTTCAGCTAAGTTCATGGCAGCTATTTGCAACACCGTCGGACGAATGCCGTTTGTACCAGGAAAGCTGTACTCATGCAAAGCCATCAGCCTCTTCAGTACAGCTGTTGGTTGCAAAGGTTATGTGGATAAGGCCTGATAGCAGCTGGGTGCAAGATTTCTGTACGCTTTAGAAAGTACGACTAACTTGTCGTCCAAAATCGTTAGACCCTTATTGTGCCGTCTGCGCTAACGCGCATGTTGTGCGCAGTGAAGGAAGTCCACTATTAACCCTGCGAAATGTGTTTACATGTCGTTATAGCAGTTTGGGGTTAGAGTAAACCTATACAACTGGGTCTTGGTTATTTACTCTATCTTCACGAAAGACTTTGACACAGTACGTACTTTGTGTTGTCTAAACATCCCAGGTGTCTACGCTTGGCGAAACTATATGGGTGGACCAAGTCGAGTCCCTCAATGATATGCATTTACGTGCCCTGCTCTGCAGAAACGACTTCACCCTTCTCGAGAGGTGGATTTTGGTTTCTGATGTGCATACCAATAGCCTGTTAAATCGGTTGAAAAATTCCCCCCAAACCATCTCATGGGACCCTTAAGCTGGGAAAGACCAGCTTGTTGAATCAATGAGGTCGAACAAGTCATCATTTTTGATTACGACGTGCGCTTCCTCGGTAGATTCGTTAAAATACTCTGAATGGCACATATAGTGGAACACTGGTGTCGCGTGATCGCTACGTCCTAAAGGAGTGCACGTTGTTACTACGTAGACTTCGAGTTCGTGGTTGGTAAAAACGGGATCAGAGATGGCCGATTTATTTCCTGTCCTGAAACCCGTTAGAGAAGTGACGTGTTCGTACAGCAGTAAACCAGCGATTAGCTCTTGTAGTTTCGTGTTGAATTGCTCGCCTTGAATGGATGGGGTTTCTAGACCGTGGAGGTTGAAGTCAACACCAGGAGAAAGTGACTACAAGCTCGTGCCATCAGGTACTTCATAGCGAAAACAATGTCTGGTCAAGTCGGGGACCATTTCGGCTGTTGCACAGAGCACAGAGCAACGGGTGGTCTGTTCCTTCTTCTTCGGACGGCTTGGGAGTTGCACTGCGCTCCTGTTCGAAAATGCAGACAGCTGGGCTCGGTAAAAATCTCACTGGTTTTGTGTTCCCTCAACCAATGGTGAACTAACTTCCACCGCCTTCAGACGTACCTCTGATAACAGTTCGTTGCGTACTTTGTGCCAACTTTTAAGTAACCATTCAATCATTTTTTGGAGTAGAGCAGGATTTTCAGCACTTTTGGACCACATCCTTTATAGTTGAGTGTTATAGATAACGTTGAAGCTGAAATGGAAATCACATCGTGGAGAGAGGAGCTTCGCGAGTGTAGTGACACTCTTCCAAGTCATGAGCTTGGGATTGTGAGTCGTCGAAAGACTGGATTTCGCGACCACCATGGATAAGGATTGATCTTTCCTCGTTTTGCTTGTGGTATTCCCCTAGGTTTTCGCTTCCTTTGTCCACACTCATTCCAAGGCATGCCAGGGGATATAAGAACGTCGTACGATGAAGCACGAAGACAGTGCGCTGACAAGAGAGCGGTGTTCGCTTTGTTACCCTGCTGAAATGCCACCTGAAATAGCCTTGGCTCCCTATAGAGAACTGCGTGTGGTTGACGGTGGATACGGGACTAATTAGATTGTTTGGCCTGGATTCCCACTGCTTCGCACATAGATCCTCAGTGTTTCAGGTCGTCTAGTAGATTGTATTTGATAGAGTTTATCTTTGACTCAGACACGTTAGTGCATATTATCTGCATCGAGTTCTGCGTCTTACTAGTGTTCCTTATTTTGGACAAGTGGGTACTTCCTTTTTCTGGCGGCGTGGTAGGTGGTCTTCTTGAAGGTGCATTGGTATTCGTGTCACTTCTGTCACACATTGGAGTGATTGCAGACGTGAGCACTATCTCCGCTTTGGGTATGCATGCAACAACGACGGTTATGCATGTTGTCAGGGGAAAACCACACCCTGCAAGATTGGGTTAGCCGGGGTTGGCTGACTCTGGCTGCCCGCCTGTATGTTATTTCTCGTGGTTGGGGTATATGGCTCTATGTCGTTAACTACATGCTTGTTTTGGTTACTTTGCCCCAAGACTGAGCGCAACTTTACGCATCGGGAGTGGAATCCTGCTGTAGCTGGTTCCCGTGTGACCGCTATACCACCCGTCGCATGTTGTACAATCGCTATAAATTTGCCACATTTCTGTGCCAGCATCGTGATGCGTGCTATGAGTTGGTTAATCATACGCTGTTTGGAAACATATGGAGTCTGGTGTGTAGCGTTGTACTTTCACTTCTTTTACGCTTAAATGTACACAATTGCAAGGGAAATACTTGCTTCACTTACGTGGTATTTCCAGTAGAATAGTCTTGGAGCCCAATTTCGAATTGCAAAGAACTTTTGTCTGCGGCTGCGTGGACGGTGTACGTCTTGTTTACTTTGTTGGTGTGTTGTGGAGCAGGTTGAGGCGGCCGTCACGTGCTTAGACTACTGTTTCTGAACAGAAGGTTAGACGGAACGCCTTAGAAAACTATATCTTGTTTAGTTACACTAAATGCACAGTTAGTCTGTCCATCAGGTTATCTGAACATTTTGTTTGAGTGACAGAGGAAAAAGGACAGTTTTCAGCCATTTGATCTTTCATAGAATTCAGTTGACTAACGAGTTCACTGTTCTCGAATCTTTTACAATTATTTTACGGGCCTCGCCCACTAGGATCCTTCGCCAACCATAAGTTTGGACTGAGTTTACTTACTTTACGGCTGGGGTGGAAATTCTGGTGAATGGAAAATGAGAAGTATGTGGCAAGATGGAATAGTTTCACCGTGAGATTTCAACCTGAACACCTACTCTCGTTGGTATTTAATGGTGAATAATCTAGACACGTAAGAATTAAATCCGATACCGTGAGCCAACAGCTGCTTGCACCAAACCGTCTCGGTTGTTGACGAAAATCGGTTTAGCACTAGTTCATTTGCTTAGTAATACTTAATGAGCTAAGAGTGTAGCACAAAAATGACGCGAAGCAATTTATCTTAACTCGATGCGTTCGATCAGGTGTTGCCTACGGGCAAGCAAGTGCCAACATTAATCTGTGATTGTTCCACTCACGATCACATCCCAAGTCTGGCACGGTCAGGAGGATTGGGGCGTTCTTCGGTTTTGTTCCCTTTAAAATAGAAGAAAAGTGATGCACAACAAAGGTAACACACACGCTTGCATAAAATCTGGTAGAATTTCGAATAATTTATTTGGCTTAAGTATACAGAGTAACGCTTGTCAGGTGATAACCCTAACAATTATAACAAGAGATATCAGTTTAAAAGACTTGCCAATCAAACACAACTTCAGTGCGGTTTTGACCTTCTTAGTTGGGGATTGCTTACTGGAATTCGAAAGTGTGTTACTATATCTGTCTCATGAGAAACAAGATATATTAAAAAGGAGTGGTTTTAGTTGCACACAAAACAGAATGACTTTCAACTGTTCCTGCATGATTCGGGGTTAACACTTTATCGAGCACCTCCACGTTGTCAAGACAATGAATCATTGCACTGATCAGCAAAAGGTGCGGAACCAGAGGTAGTTATAAGGTACTTCTAGGCTATTGAGGACAGCCAGATCGAACGTGTGCAGTGCTAGATGTGATAGAAATGTGGAGTGGTAACTCGAGTATCTAATTTTCTTGCACAGCACATTCCCTAAGTGGTCGATTAAAACGGTAATTCCTCAAACCCGAACTATATGATTACTACATCCGCTTGGCTTTTGTTGTGGTTCATCTATCTAAACCAGAGTTTTCGACATGACATTTAGAAGTACAACAACGATGGTGTCCTTGTCGACGGTAACGCTATCAAATAATTGTGCCACCTGCGACATTGTCACAACCGTAACGCATGTACTTATGAATGGAAAAGAGAATGGCTACTCAAAGAAATCAAGGCAGCGTCTTCACTCCAGTGGTCAAACTGCAACGTAATGCTGGAGAAGCCTGCTTTGGCGGAATGTCTTGACAAGATAAATGTTTCCCAGTTTAAAATGATAGTGTCATGGATCTTTCTTAACGCGGGAGAAGTCGTGCACACAATAAGTATAGGTTATTTTTTTATAAATACTACTATGCTTTTTCATGGGTTGTAAATGAGTGTGTGATTCGTTGACTGCACATGTTGCTAGTACATTATATAAATCACTGCACTGTGTTTCAGTGAAAAGTACATACGCAGGAACTTTGCGCGCCAGCCTGGGATGAAAGGCCTATGTAGAAAAGCAAACCAGACTGTGTCGTCTGTTCTGATGCACCTAGTTGTTTCCCACACAATAATTGAATATAGACGAATTTCCTAGTTCGTGTTAGCAGTTGGCGCCGTTTGAGGTCGGCAAATCGGTGAAATGGTTAACAGGAAGGCCTGTTCATCAATTTTGCTGTTCCTTCCGTGCTTACTCTGAACATATTTATAGAGCAAATAGTTTCTCACATGGCATGCTGGAAGTCGGATAATGAAAACGCTGCACCTCTGGGCTACAGGCAGCACTGTTTCAATCAGTGTACTATAACCTAGTGCCGAAAATCCGGCTTACAGATAATCCCTGCGCGATGCGTGTATGATATGCGACGGTATACAGGCGGTAGGAAGATACCCACATTCTGGCTCCCTTCTTGACCAGATCGCAGGAGATGTAGATAAAGATAACTTGATTGTATGGTGCCAAAAGACTTGCTTACTTCGTTTCAGATAGGTTTCATATTCAGGGTCAAGCAGGAAGTACAGTAAAAGCTTCGTACGTTGACCAATCAAAGAAGTGATCCAAAGTGGTCACACACAGCGGTCTGGATCCATATGGTTTACATGGTAAAAGTTCAGGTAATGAAAAAGAACTTGGTCAACTTAGAAAAGTCGTAAGGATACTGAGCTGGTCAACTTCTGAGGTTTTACTGTTTATGAAATTTGGGAAATCTATAATACCGAGCAGGACATATGTTCTCCTACCACCTCAGTAACGTGTGGCCTGAACACGATTTAACTCCACACGGTCACAATGCATGCACGCACCCAACGTGGCCAAACGACAGGCTCATGTATAGTGCGGTATCTTGACTGCTACTCTTCACGATCGAGAAATACCGACAGACACTCCTCTTTTCACTTGGGAGTTGTCTAGATGAGTCACTTATTAGCGATTCTCCGTTTTCCTATCCTACCAGCACAAGGTAACTCGTCTCAGCATTGAGTACAATCAAGGAAGTAATTGAGCGCATTCTACTTGAGCAAGTAGAAACAGAACACTAATAGGTTGGGCGCAAATGCGTGTAGGATTCTTGGACTGGGGGTAATTTCTTACAAGGCGATGGTGGACAGATGTATTTAACTAACACCAACGGAACGGGAATTATGCCAGTCAGTCAAGATTTCTCCAGAAGAGGTAGCCCCTCATTCTCTTGACTGAGACTCAGCGAAAGATTTTAGAAAGTAGGTTGAATGTCGCTTAACCATCACCGCCTGACTAAGGATCCGATGAAAGCGTACATACTAAAGTTCTATAAAAACGGAAAACATGCTTGAAAAAGCAACGCGAGCTTACTTGAATATAGATTTTAAATGTACCACATTTTTCCGTAGTTGTTGTAACCACCTGGAACAGTTAAATAAATAAATGCTTAAAGGTTGCATTTTGTGATCAGTAATATGTGCAAGAATCAGTTACAAGCTACGCTTTTTAAGGAAACTTGGAAAAACAGCAGAACACAAAAAGAGCATGCAGTATTGGATATACCGAAATTAACCTTGTTATTACCAGTACCTGACTTAGGCTGGAAAATAGAGAATACTCAGCTCTCATCTCGAACTCAATCTTTCTATTCGAAGTTAAATACAAAGTGAGATGCATGTTGCAGTATTGTCAGCACTGCTTCAGTGTTGTAGTGGCAATAACCTATTTACTATTAATTTATCAGCTCCCTTCTCCATCCCTCTTTCAGATACACTAAGCACCTGTCGCTGCAATAGGGTGCATTTCTCCGCTTTTAGTGTACAGCACGAGATGCTGTTGCACTGTTTTCTTTAGCTTTATAGCGATACTACTTGACTTTTTGACGTGAATTTTCTGTACTGGCAAAATCAAATTCAGTTTGTTTCTTGCTTCATCTAGCGCCTTCCGTACACCTGGGACGTCATGCATTGCAGCTTCGCTGACAGTGGTGGAATGAGGTGGCGCACACATAAGTCAAACGTTGGTGCCTTACACTTCGCTGACGCAACCTGACTGGCAGTACGCCATCATGACCCGCCTATCTCTCACACATATTCCTCCAACCTACTTCTTAATCCGATGTCTTCACCAGTCCGCTTTTATGGTATCTACAGATGGGGTCCGCCGGTTCCCTCGTTGCCGCAGAAAACAGAGACATTATAAATATGTGTGCACTAGTTAGGAGAAAACAGTAGAAACTAGTGATTATCACCCTTCCAACAGGCTCTTTCAAAATAACTCTGATTTTGTTTGAAAAGTATGTCGGTATCTCGGTCAGTATTCTAGAAGCGGTTTTGTCACGATTTGATGTAGTTATTGATTTTCTGAAGGCTTGCAGTTAGTCGACGTAAACCATTTGTAGACACCGTTTAACCATTTGATGGAAAAGAAATTAAGACTAAACGAGACATTCTTCATGTTGCTCAGCAGTGTAATGCGATGTGTTTACTATTTCTGCGCTGAAGAGAAAATCTGCGACAGTATTTCGTAACTGACCGAAACGCAGCTTCGCACAGACATTTTCTCCGCTGGCGAATCGGTATGGATTGATCCAGTGAATACGGCGTCCGAACGGAGTTCGCCCTTTTTCTGTCTTTGTGCTAGTTGAGATAAGAGTTAAGAGCACGCAACACAACTTCCAAAATAAGATGTGGGGTGGAAATAAAGGGAACTCGAGGGGGTAAGTTTACGGACAAGAAGGCAGGTGAAAATATCAGTAGTGAAGCACGCCGCGATAGCGATAGGATGAACGTTTGAGATAATCCACCTTTAATGGTAGTAACAGAGCTTAGAATGACCTTGTTGCATCAAACAATCCTTCGAATTTGCCTTTCCGCTTCAGTGCCTAAGCTAGCGATCCCAAAGAAATATCAATCTGGGGCACAGTGTCGAACTGAGATGGGCATTTTTTCTGCATGCACCAAAAGTGTAAATTTAACTACACGAGGCCATCCGCTAACACACTACTGTGCACAAGACCGCTGCCTTAAACCGTTGAGTCAAGGTGGAACACATGAGTTGTAAATGCATTTAATTCCTTTTAGTCCAAACACAATAATTCGTGATTAAAAACAAACATTATAAGTGTTCGGTTATCTTGATCTTCGTATGATCAGAAATAACTGGTTGAATCTCAAAAATCTATCACAAAAACACGAAATAGAAATGGTTACCGTTAACGGCCTCAAGAAACTGTGTGTTCGAGCAGACACGCACTGTTCACTAAAGTGGCTAGTAAATGCTCTGCAAAAGTTCATTCCTTTATCCTAGACATAAACATGGAATTTCATTATAGGTTGCAAAGACAAACGGGGAAGTAGCATGGCTCTAGTAAAATGGTCATCTCGCATGCCCATTTCCCTATGCAGATGATATAATTCCAACTATAGTAGTGTTAGGATAACGCAGAAATTGGTTCTTCAGCCCATGCTTCCGAAAGTTCCCACTCCTTTCAGAAGCAGCTACTAGAAATGCTACGCGCGGTAAACGGAAAACATCCCCAGATTCACGAGGAAATTGTGTTGTTGCTGTAAATCTAAAGCCATGCCTAATACTTCTTAAACGTACTATCGCAATAAAAGGTGAGCTTCAGCTAGAATATATATGGCGAAGTAACCGTTTTATACTGTCCTGTGCAGTCGTACGTATACTAGTCAGTGAGGTAGAGAAATTCGTTGACTCGCTGGAACTGAGATACCAGTAATTTCCAACAGGATACGTTCATTATATCGTTGTGCCAAGCGTTGTCCGTGACCCAGTGGCTTAGGGGTAGCGGTCACAACTAGCATCCCGATGGTCCCGGGTTCGATGCCTGCCACTCTATCTGATGCGATGCAATAACATCGAAACGCGTCATAGTAGTGCAGTGTTTTCGGGTGGGCAACACCCAGTTTCCATTTGCATCAGCTACGGTCCTCGTGATCGAAAGACCAAGGTTCACTTCAATGGGAATCGTCGTCAACATTGAAATTGCGCGTCGCAATCCATCCACACAACGTGTACTTCAAAATGACCCTCAATATCGTTCATTATACCCTTGTGCCAAGCGTTGCCCGTGACCCGGTGACTTAGGGGTAGCGATCACAAATAACATCCAGATGGTATTGGGTTCGATGCCTGCTAACTCTATCTGATGAGATGTAACAACATCGAAACGCGTCATAGTAGTGCAGTGTTTTCGGGTGGGCAACACCCAATTTCTATTTGTGAGGTGCGATCCTGTTAAATTCCAATAATGTTGCACCTTGGTTGTAGCTTATGCGTTCGTTGATACCGAGCACAATTGATGACCGATAATTCACTTCGATTTCTGTTTTGCCAAATCCAACTCACGACTTGGAAAGTTCGTTTGCTTACGGGGGAATGAATGGATATATCATTAAGCTACACAGACCTAAACAAACTTATCCCATCTTGGTACATACACAGACAACATTATTTATCAGCACATTACCAGGCTGAGTGATAAATGCCCAATCCTGATTTTCTAAGCGCAGCTGACAAACACCTGACCCATGAATGGAGAATTCTTTAATTAACTGCTCCTGACTGCCCAGGCGTGTCTCGCGCAAATTAGTATAAACGTCTTTGTTTAATTATTTACTTATTTAAAAATACAACGTACAAGCCTAAGGTGTTCACTGAGCAAGTAAAGTGCAGTTAGGCCAGTATGGTTTAGTACCACCATGGGTAGATCTGAACACGATCATGCAGTGCATTTATAGTTGTATGATCAATACGCCCTCAGCGGATCTTACTACTAGAACGTTAGCTTTTTCCCTTTCATGCAACAGAATGTTTAAATGCAAATACCTTCATGGGATAAAACCGCTGGACGTGGACCAAATGTGGTGACAAATTTCACTGTCCCTCGAACTCGCTGGGGCCTGGCTACATTCATCGGTTCATGCACCGTTAGTGTAGGCTATTAGTCAACTTAATGTCAAGGAAAGATAGGTACAATTGACTAGTTTCAGGGGGTTTGTCTCTAAACATCGTTCTTCATTTGCTCGGAACTGACTGCTTTTGTGTCGGTAAACACGGGTCAGTAAAATAATTCTGTCCAACGCAACAAGTTCCAAAATGGTAGCATATTCGCTTAGATTGACTTCCGCTGAAATGTTGGAAATGCAGTGAGTTAGCAGTTGCTTGTGTGACCGAGCCCAAGTGAATAAAAACCCATTCACATTACAGCCAAAAATGTAAAAAGAATAGGGTGGAAAAACGGAGAAGGCACTTTGCTTTGATGCGCGTTCTGAAGGCAGTTCAGCTGTCAAGAGAGACTACTTTTCGGCATGTACAACGGAAAAGTGCTGCGAAGTTGAGGAGTATCGTAACTGCAGTAGGAAAAATGGTTACCATTTTTCTGACAAACAGCCGCACACTGGCAAAGCAAGCATATAGCACATGTCTTTACTCTGCGCTACTTCCAGTTCAACTTTTGGACTATTTTGGTCATAGTTCTGAAAGTTAAAATTACTCTAATTTGGTCATTCTTGGTGGCATCACATGCATCCAATTTCAAGACCATGGGAATGTTTTCTAAGGTCTTAAGTGTTGCAATCCGCCTATTTTCCGGATGATTTGGTAGCAAGAATCATTAAAAAAAACATATAAATTGTAAGGAAGTCGGCATACTCCAATAGTTTAAACGACCGTGGCAATCACAGTCTTTGCTGTCATTTAGTGGGGCTAAGTAAGATTGATAAAATCGGTACCCATCGAAGCGATGCGTCCAGACATAATAATAATAATAATAATAATAATAATAATAATAATAAAGTATATTTTCGAGTTTACGAGGCATGCCCTTCTCGGCACGATAATATTTTACGATTGTTTCGTATACTATTAACAGAGTATACCAAATGTCAGGTAGAAGTGAAAATTGTGTTTTTATCACCTAGGGTTTTGCAGTTCAGTAAGAATGCATGGCATCCTGACGGTGATCTCCGTGTACGGACGGAACCAATCTTTCATTTCCCTGGGTAAAGAATGAGGAGCAACTGTGGTGATAAGAGAAACATTAGGGCTGAAATCATACTTACTGAACAGAGCACCCGATATCGATAAATCATTTCTATATACTGTGGCGTCCTAAAAATTGGTGAAAGACGGTGGGATTTATTTATTTTCATTTCGAAAGCTGTACAAATGTACCGAGGCAGATTTGTCTGTTATGGGTGAGGCGAATCTGGTTGGCACTTTTCAACTGGTTCAGGCATTTTGGTATAACTGTGCGCCAGGCGTAAGTGAGTAAGAGGAAAAATTAGACAGAAATTTTGAAATAGGAATGAAAATGTTGGAAGCAGTCGGTTAGCCTCACCGTCGGCTGCATTGTATACTCTGCCGTTCAGGAGAAGAGTGATGTCGTGATAGCGTCA